GTTTATGACCTTACCCTCCTCTCCTCCCTTCAGTCTCAGGAAAGATTCACTTTTAGAGAGATGGACTATCTAGCTTAGCTTTAGGCCATCCTCTCCGTCTGGGTTCCTGCAATATCACAATAAACATAAACAGGAATGAGAAGAAAATACGAAAATTCTGAGCACGGGACCAAAACAATTCTTGCAGGATGCATAAAATATGAATATTTAAGGAAAACAAGAGTACTTGAACACCTGCAGTAATAAAGGCTCTTCTGCTAAAATGTGTTTTAATATTTAAATAACCATGTCTGGTAGCCTTTTGGGTGAAAATAGAGCTTGATTGCTGGCCATTTCCTACAGTGGAAACTTAAGGTACATCCAGTATAATTTTACACTAATAAATTGAATCTGAAAAAAGCAAACTKTAAGGCTGCAAAACAGACTGTTTTCCTGAATTGCTTTTGCCTCTGAAATATTWTGTTGGCATGACATGCACTGTTTATTGTTTTACATGTCTTTATAACCTTCAGTCTCTCTCTCTGTCAACACATTACTCTCCAGCTTCATTGTGCTCTTGTGTCTTCTCTGGTGCCGTGGGAACATAAAGCAAATGATTCTTCTGTTCTCAGCTAGAAATTGTTTTTCATTATAATTTCAAGAGGGGCTTTGAAGTATCTACTTAGGCTCTCACAGCTAATAAGAGACAARGCAGTTGCTATGCTACTTGTTGATTAAATGAAAACCAGACCTGATAACATGTGAAATCTTCCTGAGGGAGGTGTTTCTCTTACRGAGATGAGAACTGAGCAGTTAAGACCCGAAGTTGTATGTCTAAGGTTAAATGCCTAAATGGTCATTTTAAGCTCTGAAAGCAACGAGCTGGCTATCTGGAGCCAGAGTGTCAGTGGGTGTAAAATATCACTGACACTTCCTGAGCATTTGGGCACTAGGGGCTTTGAGGACAAAATGTCCATTTTATATTYCGAGCATTAAAAATCCTAAATTTTCATTTAAAAACTAAATGGGGAAAAAAAAAAAAAAGCAAACTTCTTCTGAGGTGCAATGTGACAGAAAATTATGACACCCAGGAGAAGATCCTCAGCTCTGCCAAAACCAAGATATCACATTTAAGGCCATAAATAACRTGTAGTTTCATACTTGTAAGTCACAGTTTGAAAATGAGTTTATACTGAAAGCCCCAAAATACAATTTATGCTTCTGAAACAGAGTATAGACCTCTAAATTCAAGACATCAATCTAATCTAAAGCCCTGGATTTGTTTGGACACTGGAAGTTTCTTAAGTATGTTGTACCCCTTAAGTCAGGTTTAACACATTCTGTGAGCACCAAGTTCAGAATAAAATAAAAGTCGCAATGCCTTTCACTGTGAAACACAACAAAAAAAAGGTGCCAGAGCATTAATGGTTTTGTATACTTAATTTAAAATACGAGCCTTAAAACTACAACTCTCGTTTTTTTCCTTTGCTGTTGAAAATGGGTAACTCTGCAGCAAAGAATGTGAGTCATGAGACCAAAGAAAGAACAGGCAAGGGAAAGCATAATTTTATAGTCCAGTGATTTAAGCACTGTTGGAAGAGACCAGAAATGGTTCTGCTCTGTACATCATTTCCTTTTATGTGTGTTTGTCTGTTTCAATTGAAATGCAGAAGCAATCCACAGCAGCAGAATAAAAAATGATATTACACATTGTCTCACTGTATTTTTGGTCCCACACTGTGGTTACCATGTGAACTGCTTAAGGAGTGGTGAATGTACCAATAAGCTTGTGGTTATCCTCTTAGAGTAGAGATCTGAGTTTAGTTCCCTTAAGCTAAGAAGGGCTTTCTTCTGTTCCAGTTACTGGCAGCAAAACACCTGATTTTGTAGCTGCTCTCAAACCAACAGGATGGCAAAGATCTGCATTCTGGCTTAGCTGAGGAGCAAACATCAATTAGATGTAAACATTGGATGGCAGAATTCAAGACAGAGGGAGATGCACAATTTTTAGACACGTTTCTATCTCCAGCTGGAAGAATCAGCCAGCTGCTGTCAGCACCCTCCTCTCCCAYGTGTGTTTGCCACCCCTGCTCCAGACTGTGTAGATTTGAGGTGATGCATTACTGTCTGTTGCATCACAGGACTTTCTTGGAATGTACACAGAGGTCATCAAGATGTGTTCTCTACCAATGTATTTCTTGTATATGGTGTGTTAAAATTTCAATGATTGCTTTAATGCTTTCCCCTGTATACCAGGGGAAGAAGTCACAGGCCACTAGCAATGTGCTGAGAGATAGTAACACTGGACTTTTTCTGAAAATACCAGTTTYTGAAAGAAAAAACACTTTAGATGTTAAAATAATAGCACATTTATTCTATTAATTTGTGCTTTCTGAAAAGGATATGAAAGTAGGGAGATTATCCTACAGCAGCAGTGTCCATAGACATTTCACACTTATAACTTTATTTTACCTTCATAAAAGGAAATTATGTGCTGGGATAATTTTTTGCTTATTGTGTCAGATTTCCTTTATTGCACTTGGCAATTTCATCCAATCTGTTCCCTGAAAAAAGAAATCTTGTATTTCCAAAACAAACAAAAGTTTCAGTTGCATGGTAACCAGCCCACATAGTAAGCCCTAGAAATATCAGATCCAGAGTGCTCAGGACTTTGCCAAAGAAACAGAGTGGTTTTAACTGATTTCTTCATATGATAATAACAGGGATTTTACCCACTACATCATACAAAATGATGCTGTGGCCAAATTCTTTGCTGTTACTGAAGTCAAAGGAGTTACATCATTGGCGAATGGGATTCCAGTTCATCCCAAGCAGTTTGTCCTTRTGCAGCCTGCAGAGGGGACTTTGCCTCCATCAGAGAGGGGAAGTCTCRCCGGGCCATGTGCCTGTTCTGTCAAAAAGGAACTTTAAAGACATTGTGAACTTTAGATCCACAGAGTAAGAGGAGTAAGGGGCATGGGAGGGATGAAGAAAGGCCTCTCAGTGTTTGCCACCCTTCTCATGTTGCAGAGAAAAAAAAGACAGATGTAGTTGCAGGGTTTTTCTCTGGGCATTTCACATTGACTGGATACTTTCAAAGGCTATAGTTATTTTGGCTCCCCGATGATGCAGAACCACTGGAGAAAGGTCTCAAGAAGCTGGAAGGAGCCATGAGCTGGTGGAAGTGCCTKGCTAAGGATCACAGGATAGGGTATCATGGTTTCGTCCCAGCCAGCAACTAAGGACTCTGTAGGCACTCGCTCACTCTTCCCTCCATCCCCAGTGGGATGAGGAGRAMAACCAGAAAAAAAAGAGTAAAACTCATGGGTTGAGATAATGGTGTAATAATTGATGCGAAATTTCATACACTAATACTACTAATAAAAAAAGAGGTGGAGAGAAGGTAAAATCCAAGAAAAGCAAGTGATGYGTGACACCACCCACTGATCAGTGCCCAACCCATCACCGAGCACCAGTTGTCTCCTCCCAATCAACTCTCCCCCAGTTTATGTACTGCTCTCTTAAGCAAGAGAAAAGAAGGTCCTAAAGAAAAAAAGTTTCTTTAGAATTCAGTTTGTAATGCATGTTCATGATTAACAAGCTGTTTCTTATTCATAGTGTGTGGATTTTCCATAATCATGAACTTAAGTAAGTGAGCTGACATCAAAGTAGTCACTGAGATATTCTTGTTTTCTGCCTAACATCATTGAGTGCACCTTGGACTATGGCTTTCACATCAATGTTTCCTTCCATTATAGCTTTTTGTTCATTAAAGTCCTCGACCAGCCTTTAATCCATGGCTGGTAGGACTTTGTGGTAAAGGAGCAGCGTCTGTGRCAATGTAAATATTGCACATTGAAATCAGTACTGGATGTTCACAGAGGGAGATGGAAATGCCTGCCACAGCACAAAATTTAAAGTAAGGTAAAGATCATCATTGCTGAATTCGTGTTTGAATGGGAAGGGTACCCCTGGCTCTCACTGCCAAAGTTTGGAGACTGTTTTGCTTCCACAGTGGATTCATTTTGAACAGTGGAGTCCAAGTGTCCTTTTCAGCTGTGTGCTCAGGCTGAACACAAACACATGCACACAGAGGCACATGGTACTGCAGGGATAAGATTCCTTACAAGAACAAGAGCTCTAGGAGAGAACTGTTAATTTTTGGGAGGACTGGTGATCCAGCAGACCGACAGTGCTTTGTGAGCAGCACTTGGTCCTCAGATTTGCCACAGCTCAGTCTGGCGCGGCTGCTAGTGGCAGCCCAACCCATGTGGTTTTTCATTGCCCTCCATCTCTCCTTCTTGTCCCAAGTCCTTCACTCACTGCGTTTTTGACTCTGTGGATGTGACAGAACGCATCTCTTTTCATATTTGCAGGTATATAAGTTTGTCTCTTGATTTACGCATTCTCTCTCTTCCTAATCACAAAAGCACCAACCAGTCTCAGCCCCAGTAAGACACAGAGGCTTGTTCAGTCTGTCAGGATCAAATCTGGACAGGAAAAGGGCAATACTGTCCTTTTCTCTTTGCTCTGTGGTTGTCACAGAAGGATCTACGCTACCTGTGCTCGCCAGGGTGGACTCATAGACTTGTAATGGTTTAGTTTCAACTGGTGTGGTTGATTGACCTGAAAAATAAATGGATGAAACTCAGACTCTTTGATCTAGGTATGGTGCTCTTGCAGCAGATTTGCTGTTGGAATGAGACAGGATTCAAGAGAACCAGCTGGAGTCTGGTATGTAGGATTTTCTGGACTAAAGCCAGGGAGCTTAGTTAATAACTCAGCAAGACAGGCTGCTCAATCTTCTAATTGGCTGCCAGCTTCAGGCCCTGAGTGCCCAGTAATTCACGCAGGGACCAGCACAACTGAAAAGGATCTGTACTGCTACAGCTCTCATGSTGGGTTTATTCTGTCAAAAAATGGTTGAATTAATTAGGTTGCAAGTGGCTTGTGGGCTGCAGAACCTCTGAATCAAACCATGCCCCTGGCTCTGAGCATCACCCTCCTTATCAAGAGCTGGTGTGAAGTTCTGGGTTGTTTCCTCAAGACCATGTCAGATCTGAGGCCCAGAAAACCTTCTGCATTGTCTCTGTCTTTCARCCTGAGCTGGAGATAAAACAGCCTGTGTGACGCCAGGTAAGAACATTCTGATGCACAGAAGTGTCTGCACTGTCAGAAATYGTCAGTGACAATCCTGTTGTAATGGGGAATGATATCTGATTGCAAGGGATCCTTCTCTAGGACCTGCCTAACTCGAGTCTTTGCCTTTGGACATTTTGTTTCAGAATTATGGTCTGTGCTGAACCTCACAACCAGGAGCCTATAAGATTTTTTAGTCAATATGGAGTTAAAAGCCTTGTAAATAGGTGGCCAGATCTGTAGAAAACTTCCTGTAAAGTACATGCATCAAAACCTGTGCCCTTGTGATATTCAGGCTTGCAAAGGATTTGGGGGAATGCTGCCTTAGAAAAGTCCTCTGTGTGCCCAGGGCACTGAGATGGGAAAAATAACACTTAGGAGAAAAACACTGGTCACTTTCCAAACAAGTGCTGAGAGCCTGGTTCTCAAAACAAATAAAAGAGAGCTTATCAAGAATGATTTTTTTTTAGGGGGTAAARTGCTGGCTGAAAAAGGCATGAAGCCATTCTAACAGGAACAAATCCCCTCTTGTTTGCTTCCTCCTAAATTCAGTTGAACAGAACTTTGTACAGTCTGTAAATAAAAGAGATTGGTGAGACACCTGAGTTGAGCACTCACACCTCCTGCAAACTGAAACAGGCTTCAAGACTCAATTGTTTTCTAACCATGGATATCAAAGGGGGCACTGTAGAGAGTCCCTTATGGAACTGAGTTTAGAAGAGGCACAAAATCCTTGAGAATCAAACAGAAAAAGGTATAGCTGAATTATCCCTGTGGAAAATTATGGTTATGCAGAGAACAGAAATTTAAGAGCAGGAAAGCCACCAAGGCAGTGGCAAGACAGGCAGAAAATATCTACAGCTGTATATGAAATTATGTGGAAAATAAGGSAAGAAGGGAGGTCATGCAGTCTAGAAGAGAAATCATGCCAAACAGGCAATATGTCTGGGCAGCAGGGATTTTGGGGGCCAGACTGATTTTGTTGGTATTGTGGAAAAAGGAGCAGCAGGAYGTTAGGGTGGGAAAAGGGGTGAAAGAAATGAAAGGTGACATGAAGGTTGAAAGCCTGAAAAGAGAAAGAAAATGTTTCAACCTCCAAAGATCCAACTGTGATTATGCAGCTGTCAGCCCTGCCCCTTTAATTAAGTAATTGATTAATTAAAATAAAGCACTTAATCTCTCCATTTACATATTATGCCTCCCACTAACCAGCACTGGCTGCGGGGTCCTCATCAGAAAGCTCCTTCCTATTTGAATTCGTGTTGGTTCCCAAACATATTACTTTGTAAATAGGAAATGACAACATTGGCTCGGTGCCCCAGTATCGTCGCAGCACTGCCATATGTCAGTATCATGCTAAACATAGTAAGCAGAAGACCCAACAATATAATTATTGAGGACATCTGTCAGCAGCACAGGCTACATCTGGGATTAGTAGCTGTAATACTGGAAAGACCTATAAGAAGCAGAGAGGAAAGTCCTTTTGTGTTGGCTTGGATTTTCAAGAGTAGGAGCCAGATCCTCAGCTGGTGTAAATTTAAGCCATTCAAAGAAGCTAATGAATCCAGCATCAGCTGATACTAGCTGAGGATCTGGCACTGAAAACCAGGCCAATGTCATTAAGTATGAGGTTTAATATTTTCTGCATAAAGGTGGAATGCCTCAAAACAATCTGAGTTTACAACATGGAAGATCATTTATTAGTGGAGCCAGCAGGTACAGGCTGTCTTTAATCTCAGATCTGAAGGATTGTGGACAARTTTGGAAAGCTCCTGAAGAATATTAAAAATTCTCTTTAATGTTCTTTGTACATCAAGCATGCAGTGGTGTAATTTTATATTTCAAATAATTATAGGCAGAAAAAAAAAGAATCTTTTGAGCACATTTAACACTTGCTAAATTCATCCACTGCAGAGTTTATCTTGTAGTCTGCACAGGCATTCTGTCCTGTGAAACCAGTGACACATACAGATTATACCTATTTATTAATCTGAGGGCAASCTCCCGTTGGAAAGCCAAGTAGCTGCATTAATGGAATGCTCCTTTAGAGTTAATATCCCCCGTAGAAATCACACAGCCATGTCTGTACCATGCTGTGCTCATTCTAACACACCGCAGTTCCCAGCATGCCTCAGTATTTCAAACACCAGGTTGTCCTAATATTGGCTATATGGCATCTGGGATGGAGGCTCTCTGTTTTTAAATATGTGGCAGAAAGATTTTGCTCCACGGATCTGCACACAAGCCCTGAGGATTTCCAGCCAGTTCCCAGCTCTGCTGTTTGACGATATGATGAGGAGCTGCATTGCTGCCTTCAACAGAGAAGCCAAAGGGATTATGCCCAAGAAATGCTAACAGGCAGATTTTGAGCAATACCAAGAAAAGTTGCTTTCTGAAGAAAGTGCTTAGTAATGTATTAGATGAGAAAAAAGGAGAAGAAAGGTTAATCTCCCCAGATAAAAGCTCTTCCTTCATGTGTCACATGAAACTTTTCACTCCTTTACAYTCTGTATTGATGAACAAAGGTATCCTTGCCCGAGTCAGGTTTGTAAAAGAGAGAAAATGAGCTCATGTAGTGATCTCTCCCCACTTTTAAAATTCTTTTGCTTTGCAAGATTTCTTTGAGCCCTAAATCCACAACCTAAACTTAACAAAGGATTGCAATAAAATGGTATATTTCAGAATTGACAGGTCATAGATTTCTTTTTTTCCCTTAACTGAGAAAAATCTTTCCTTATGTCAATAACTGCAATTTTGTGGGGGGATCTAAGAGAGGTATGACTCTTCACCTCACCCATTCGTCAGGAGATTCACCAAGACTCTCATGGATGTGTAACTGTGTGCCTGTGCACGAACTGAGTGTTTAAACTCTTCCTGTAATCTGTAAAGACACATCCCAGGAAGGCTGTAGGTCTGCAGAGACACCCAGCTGACTGAAGGGTCTACTCTGAGTCTTTGAATTGCCTTACTGAGGTGTTTATGGCTCTCTTGTGACTGCAGAGGAAGCATATGGTGCCTAAAGCCAAAACTGAGTGCCTGTGTGCCTCCCCCCAACAACACACCCTGTTCAGGCTGGCAAAAAGGCAGACAATTAAAAGAGGTTAGAAATATTGGTTATTGTGATGAGATGTGAAAAAATAATCTGATACAAACCTGTGGCAACACCCAAACCATCAATGTATTTTCRTTTACGTAACACATAGTGAACATTTTCTTTGCAAAATTCAATTGTGCCCTTCCTAGACAAGACAGGAGAGAAAAGASTTGTGAGCCCTGAAATGTAGAGGGYTCTGTCTTGCTCCTRTTGGTGCTTTTCAGTRRCTTGGACACTGCTTGAACTGYGTGTGAGTGTAATGGATGAAAACACGATTGTTCATGGACTGTGTTTATCTTCTTGGCAAAGGAGAGGTCTGAATGAGAAGTAGCTTTGTTTAATTCTGTTTTCTTAATAAAACAGAAAAAAAAGCTCCCCTAAGATTGTTTCAGGCCTCTGGTCTCACACCAGTACATCCTCTCCTCTTCACATGGATGAGTAGCTGAGAACATTTTTCCCTCAGGTTGAAAAATAGCAAAAAAACCCCCAAGCAAACAAAAAACCGAACAAACAAACAACAATAAAACAAAACAAAAAAACCCACAAAAAACCAAAAACCTGAAACTAATCCCCCCACCAAAAAAACCCACCCCGCCACACATAAAACCAATCAACCAACTAAATCCCTGTGAGACAAAAACAAAACCAACCAACCAATCAAAACCTGACAGGTTATTTAGATAGCAATAATAATAATAATAATAATAATAAAATTCTTATTATTTGATTTTCAGGATTTTTTTCCTCAGATAAGTGGGAATAGCTATTTTTTTTTTATTAAAATGCAAGACAATCCAAATAGCTTGAGGCCATGGTCCGACCCTGAAAACAGATTTAACTGCTTCAGTAAACCTATCCACCTCATTGACATTTCTTACATTTGGAAATCCTGTCTTGAACAATAGTTTGTAGGATTTGTTCCAAGGGGGATTAAAGTGAGACTCAGGTACAAGCCTTCAGTTTGGAGGTAGATTTCACTATTGCTGCTGAGTGAAAACTCCCAATTCAGAAAACTACTCTATTTGTTTCTAAAAATAAAAGACAGTTCCAGGAACACAGACATGCAGAATGAATAACTAATTCTTGTCTGATTGCAGCTCTGGAGTGAATTTTGATGGTTGAGTTGAAAACAGTGCTTGGATGAAAAGGAGTCTATAATGGAAACCATGCAGGAACTTTAACACCAGCAGCAGCGCCAGCAGAGAGCTCGTAAGAATATCAGTCRTGTGGGGAACTGTGCACCTATTGGACGTGTTCACTGAAAGATTAACTTCAAAATCTATAGCCTCAATTTCCTGAGTTTAACTGTGTTTGAATGATCTGCGAATTTTAGGCTAATGTGTATTTAACATGCATCTCTATAGAGTTATGGACCCATACAGTGTGTCTTTATTTGCAATGCTATGGGCCTTACAAGCATTCATTTAGGTGTAGCTTATTTAATTTTTAATGGGCTAATCCTTGTTCTTTCAGGGAAGTTTTTCTATATACAAAGCAATTACTTAAACTAGTGTTTGTTTAGCTCACCTAACCAGAGCAGTCACGTAATCTTTSGGCTTTTTCATATCTTGCCAGCAAATTTATTAATGGAATCGGGCTGTTCCTGTCTGAAATATTCTCTTGCAAATGTTTCCAGGCAGAACAAGAATGTGAATAACCTAGTGTTCAACAGCAAGTTTTAAACAGATTSTTATTCTCCTGTCTGATTTTGATAAGGTCAATGCAGTAGCAATGACAKAGACCACATTTTACCATTGCAATTGATTTTTGTTTATGGAAGTTAGCTAATATTTATGTTCTTGCAGGGAGGATTTGAAAGAGATATGGAGGATGGAGTTAGGAGTTTTCTTGTTCACATTTCCAAATCTCCCCCAAAGCATTATTCATATTTTCTTTTTGGTATCATGGTACAAGGCCTGGCTGAAATTTTTACTTCCATTTTCCCAAAGCCCTGCTGTATTGTTCTGATGCTCAGATTTCTACCTCTCTTCTCCCTTACGAGGGCACATCCATCCACACACATCAAACAGCAAAGAGAACTTAGATTCCAGCCTTTGTTAAAACTCAAACTGTACCTCCTAACCATTGCAACAGCTGCTTTTTGGGCCACTGGTTTCACAAAGGCATTTCATGACTCCTTATGGCAGCTCTTTCTTTATGGAATTAATTCAGTTTCATACAAACCTCAGGAGATGGCATTTACTAAAAATAAATGAATAAATAGCATCATTATTCATAATTATTATTATTTTGTATTTGCAAGAACCAGGGACTGACTCTCATTTTGGTCAAAATCATAAAAATTCTCCTGACATAGAAGCAACCACCTTCATGTCAAAGTCCTGTAAGCTAATAAAGAATTTGACCAGGCCATTTCTTACTCTATGGGAAACCTGTTAATTGTGATTAACAATTGTGTAAAAGTGCAGCAGTCACAGCCCCTTCTCTGCTGTACACTCTGCAGTCAGACTCACCATTCTGCATCTAAGGCCCTGCCAGTGTGCACTGGGGCATGACTAACATCTGTTATTTGTTTGTTTATTCCTSTCCTTCCCAGGCAGTAATCATGTGCCACAACCCGTGGAGTATTTAGAATACACCTTTGCTGCTCAAGGTAAGGTCAGAGATGAGCAGATTGCTTTTCCAGCAGGAGGTGGTGAGGTTTGTTGTAACTCTTCGTTCCCGTGGGAATTTATTTCTCACTTTGGGTCAACTCTGAGAGAACTCTGTCTYATGCACTGACACCCTTACAAATGTTTTACCAAAGCAGCTGCTTCCTTTGGCTGGGACCTTTTTGATGTGCCAGCTTTATGGGTGTTTTCCTCTCAGGATGCTACCAATGGGCTCACTTTGCCTTTATTTTTAGCTCCTTCTCAAAAAAAACCCTTAACTTTGCACTTCCCACTTCAAAGTAAACTTATATCCTTCAGTGGGAAATGTCTTTATTTAATGCTGCCCCACACTGAAAGCAGCCCCTCAAAAGTACTGCTGGTTTTCTACCTCACCAGTAGGGAGGATWTCCTCCAAAAGCACCACTTGCAGTTTACAGTTGCTGCAAGCTAACCATCCAAAGGTRTTAAATGCAGAGGAATGTAAAAATATCTCACAACACAAAAGCGGGGAGAAGAAAATCAGTCAGTGCAGAAAACTAAGTATATAGGGGAAATTCATCATAATGGATGAAATACACTGAAAAAAGGGGATGCTTAAAAGTAGAAGAAAATTCCACATTTGCAAGATATACTAATATAGACAAAAGCTCATAAAAAGGAAAATATAATTCCAAGGTACAGAATTTGAACGACAGATATGCCTGAATGATTAACATTTTGGCTTTGCTCACTGCCAATATCCTTTCTTCAAAGTGGGGTTGAACAGAGTCACAAGCAAGACTAGGAGGCAGATAACAAACTRTTAGAGCATTACCTGCTGCACAGARCATTATTTGCCAGCAGACTGGTCCCAGGATCTTCATTTTAAAATAACCTTTGCACAGCTGTGAACATGCTTAATTTTTAAGGCCACACATTGCCTTCAAATTGGATTGAATTACTGCACTGTTTTAAAAACTTGTGATCTGATTCTGCGGTTAAAAAAAAAAAATTAAACATTGCTGCTCTAAGTACAGCAGATTTATTTCTTCCACAATGAAACTCTTTGGTACAGCGGCCTCTGAAGACAATTTTTAACGCTGACTCCTCTGCATTCTGACTTCATTTGTGGAGATACATAAGCCACAATAACAGCCTCAAACAAGACTTTCAAAACACACTGCTTTTGTACTTCAAAAKAGATATGTCCCCATTTCTTTCTCATATGTCTTTTCTCAAGCCTTTTATTCTTCACAAAGAAATACAGAGCTGACCTGACAAAAACATTTTGCTTGACAYAGTAGTCAGAATTATCCTGCCTGAGCAAATCTGAGAACTCTTTTCCTGATGGAGCTACCTGAGAGCATAAAAACATATATTTTATTTGTATCTCTTGAAAAAAAGGTCCCTGATCTTCAAGACACAGATAGCTCTTATCTCAAATGGAGACCCACTGAATTCACTGAATGTACATAAGGATCTTGAGGACTATAATTGTATTGTGAACCTAGATGCTGATGTGCTTCACTCAAAACATCCCCACCCTGGAAGGCAGCACACTCCCTGGGTTTTGACACCCTCCAGTTGTCCCTATTGCCTGTGGGGTCAAAGCTGGTGAGCATGCCATGAACTGATTTCTCAGATTTTCTTTCCCAGAAAGAAAGAAAAAACTGGTGCCTCTTCCTTTTTCACTCTTCACCTTCAACAAGAACATGCTCTGTGATGGAGAGGGCTTGCTCTCATCTGCTTTATTGCACTCCTGTTACTACATAAATGCAATTCTTCAGAATGGCCTCTCTCCACCAGCCCACAGCTAAAGAAAATTGTAACTACTGAAAATAGAGAAAAAACTCACCAGAAGAAGGGCAGATAGACATCCCTGAGGGAATGTAACAACTACAAGACTTTAAACTAAAAAATATCAACCCCCCCAACCAAGTAAACTCTCCCTAACCAAGAAAGGCAAAGGATGTCTTTGCAGCATCTTGCCAGAATTTACCTTACCCCTTCATCCTTGTCCCCAGTTCATCCACATGGTGCTGGGTCATGATGGCCCTACCTGGAGCAGCACACCTGTGTTTTCTTTGCATGGAAACCAAGGATGGGAGTGAAGAACAATTGACTCTCATCAAGGCCAAGGCACACACTTRAGATGGAGATCAGACAAAGTCTAGACAGATTCCTTAGCTGTTTGGTTATTTTTTATAGATTCTTTAATACTAACCATTTGTTCTTTATGAAACATTCAAAATGTTGTATGTATTAATACTCTTTGGGTGAAGAATTAAAAAAAAAACTTTTGCTCTTCTGCTCTGAGTCTGCCATTTTAATAAGTGTAACATCTCCTGTTTCTTATATGATTTAAAGGCCAACATAAAAAAGCATTCAAAAAGACTAATTGGAAAAATACATGTCTGAAAAAAATGTTTTAAACTCATTTGAAGGAGGAYGGAGAGTAATGCTATGTGTTCTTTTTTATAAGACTTTAGTAAATGAAGGWCTTTCAGATGCTGGCTCTCTGTTTCACATTCTTCATTGCCTTGTATAAAATAAACTCTCTTGCACTTTGGGAGGGGCAGACATTCCCAGGGCTGGGCTCTCCCAATGTCACAGCCACTGCTGGCCACCGTCCCCACAGATCAGACAGCAGCCCCTCCGTAATGTGGAAAACTGTAAAGATGGTCAGTAGAACTTTGGTCAGCTGCTTTAACAATGCTGCCTTTAAATCTCACATTGTTAAACCTGTTATGTATTAAAAATAACCTCCATGAAAGCAAGCCTGAAAGATAATGGCCTGGATAATGAGTCAATAGTTCCAGAGATTTTGAGAGACATGAGTCTAAGTCTGGAATTTATATACATTCCTGGTATTTTCCCATCTCAAAGGCACAGTAAAGCTGCTTAAATATAATGGAGTGGGGGAAGTCAGCCACACCAGATGATTCATGTATGCTTCTGCCTCCACTCAACTCATATTTTAAACATCTCATTGAAGTTTATAATCAAATGCTTCTATATTTTTCTTTATGGTATTGGTAAGCAATGGTCCCTTTGTCTACAGTCTGTCTCATAAATATAAAGTCKACTGTTACTTCATGTTATACTAGATGGAGGTATAGGAGACCTTTGTTAACCTAAATAGTTTAGAATTTTCCTAGTTATTACTAATTTTCTGAAGTTAAATTTACATTGGCAAGTTAATAGATTGCTCTTTGCCAAGAGAAAAACTCATATGGAAAAAGACATTTCACATCCATTATAGTTGATGAATATGTCTGATAAAGCAATTGAATGTTATCTTAAAAATATGTCTAGTTTTACTCCTTGAGTAATATTAAAGTTTAGKTAGATTTAGCAGCAAAACTCTTTAGGGAATAGAGGCACAGAATCAAAATGTTTTCTATTGTCATTTGTTCTGTATTCTTGTCCTCTATTTGAAAAGCTTAGACGCCAAAATGCAACTGTCTTGTTCTTTGTTCTTTTGAATTTTTCAACTTAAAATATATATAATGTATTACAWTCACTGTGCTTTTCATGTGGGAAAACTGACATTCCCAACCCTTTTTTAATTTTGTTAGAATCATGAAGGACTCTATGATTGTGGAAATTGTGTCATTGTAGAAAYTCAAAAGAGTGCATATAAGGCACTTCAATGAACACCCTACTAAYATATATAGAAAACAGCACAAATTGTTAAATGACTATCAATTAAATCCACGTCAGGCCCCATGTGAGAGCTGAGAGTGATTCTACCATCATTCTCTATATAGATATTTTCTTTTTATTCAGGTATTCCAATAAAATAGAAGAATCATCCAGGGGGCTTCACACTGTAAAAGACAGCTAAAAAGACATGGACCTTCTAAATTTCTTGTTTTTTAAATAATTCTTCAGGGCTGAAGTGTAGGTCTATAGGTCTAATTTAAAAATGGGATCTGAAAACAGCTGTAAACTTGTGAGATGATGAGGGACTTCATCTGGAGGCAGCGTCAGACATGCTGTGCACAGCACATCTGGCACAGATGTGAGGAGCACCCTTTGCTGGGCACGTGCAGTACCTCCTGTGCATTTGGTCCCAGCTCAGCTCATGAAATGCAGCAGGGTGGACAGTGATCTCAGGGTGCTCTGGGCTTTCAGCAGGCCTGGAAACCTCTGGCATTTCTCAGTGTCAAACAGTCTGAGCAGAGCCATTATTTGGTGTGGTGCACTAAGTATTTTTCTTGACAAAATGTATTTCATCCAGCAGGAGTGGTGAGAGGCAAATGTACCTTTAGTCCCTAAAATAAATCGGGCTGAAGACTGATGTGTCCCTGCCTTGAGCTGGAGATGGCTCTGACTTCCAAGTTAACTTTCATTCACAGGCCTCTTTCTGCACCATTCCACAAAGACTCACTATGAAACGGGGCATTTGCCAGATAATCAATGAATCATCAAATACATCTCAGTATCAAGGATGTTTTTCTTGATAATATCTTCTTGAATTTCTCCAATATCATCTCTATGTAGATACAGAAATAGCACCACACGTCTTGATTACTTACATTATAAGGTTATTTGTGAATTATATAATTTAATTATAATTTCAAGAAAAAGACTCACTGTTTCCACAGAATGACCATTAATTTTTAAAAATCAGATATTAATGATCAATTCCATCACCAGTTCACATTCTGGCAAAAATGTTATAAAGTTTATTTAGATATACTTATTTTTCTATCAAGTCTTGCAGACCCATTATCACACTCCTTTGATAGTTCCTACTTGGGCAGAGCATMATTTGTGTTTTTCTAATCACTTTTCATGAGCAGATCCCTTTAGTCCCTTTGAGGTTTGTTAGAGGACATCAGAAATGTGTGTAATAGTTACCCATACCATCATGCCTGAGTAACTGCAGGGTWCTGTTAATTCTGTTAAAATATTCACAGCTTTAGCTGAAATACAGTTTGGATAGCAGACACAGCCTCTTACCCACCTCAGTCAGCTGTTTGCAGTACAATTTTGTGATTCCTCATTAGCTAGCGTGTCTGCCTTCTGCCACAAACTGAC